CCAGAGAGAGACTAGAGCTTCCTAGCATTTCCAGGGAACTGACCCCGGGGGCCTAATGAGAATGTAAACCAATATTTGTGCAGTGCAATCCTCGAGGCTCCCAGCAGATGTAATCACAGTCAGGCAGACTACTTCTGTCTCCAAGGGCAGGAAGCTGCAGTGAATCACAGCCCGGGCCACGGACTGACCTCGGAGTGGCATCCCCTGAGATGGCGGGGAGCAAAGGCAGGAAACAATTGGCTAAAGCGGTTTTCCCATTCCTCATAAGAAACTTTCAACTTCATAAAAAAGGGCCACATTTTATTGACAATAAAAGCTAACCTTTATTTCCTTACTCCATGCCAGCAAAGCATACAACCCTTTTCCTTTCCTCGCGGCAATTCTGCAGGGCAGGAACTGGCGGTCTCACCTCAGATATGAGGAGAACCAGGCTCAGAAAGAAAGGCAGTGTAATTAGCCCAAGGCTGTACAGACAAGTGTATCAGGATTTCAACCTCCACAACTCAAGGAGTTTCCTTTAATGACATTCTATCTTTTCATCCACTGCTGTGACATTGTGATGTCAAAAAGGAGTATATATTTGGTCTTTGTCCCAAGTTTCTGGCAGATGCTTGAACATGTTACTTCCTTGGTGACAGGTGACAAACAGGGTGTGGGGGTCATCTTCTGCTGTGTTTGGTTCTAGCCTTCAGTTTCTTGGTACAGAACATCTGGAATCTCTGAGATTTCCGAAATAAGCATCCTTGTGTTTGCTGATGAGGTGACTAAGATTCTAGACGGTTCCAGGATAAGGGCTGATGCTCAGAAGGACCAGACACAGTAGAAGAGGGGAATCTTCAGTCCCATTCACTCAGTGCTAGAGATCGTATTGAACACCAAAGCCCAACGCTTTGAATCACCGTACAATGGCGCCTCTACAAATCCCTGCGTGTCAGAGCTGAGCGAGTCTGGGAGAGCCAGTGCAACCACATGCCAGGGGTGTATCTCAACTCCGCCCCAGCAAAAGTGCTGTGCTCAGGGCCTCTAACATCACCCTACGATTTTCTGTGTTAGTCCGATGCTTTATAACTGTCTTCATGACAGCATTGATAGTGAAAATAACAAGTTCGAGGCCAGCTTGGTCTACAAAGCTAGTTCCAGGACAGCCAGGGCTACACAGAGAAACCCTGTCTTGGAAGCGAAAGAGAGAGTTATAATAACAGAGTAAACACAAGCAAACTGTTTCCCTGAACTCCTAGCGTCCTTACAGCAAAGTGGAATCTGCAAGTCAAACAGAAGTATAAGTAACCACGCGACCATTATCTGTGATTGTGGATGTGCCCATGGGTTGAACCTTTTCCTTGTGGGTCTGCACTTACCCTGGGTAGAGATGGTCAGAGTCGGACTTGATGTGGAAAGCACAGGATCAGGTGCAGGAAGTGCTGAGTAAGAAATCGTTCTCCTCTACCAGTTTTAGACAAGTAGCTGCAGCCACTGCCACGCGTTGCCCACACAGAAACATGTACGCACACACGCACAGAGAAACGCACACAGGGAGCACAGACACACTTTTCGTCTTTCAGTTTAGATTAATGGCCTGCACACCAAGATCATGAATGAAGACACACACCCAAGAAGGCCTTATTGTGGGGGAGAATGCAGAAGCACAAAGGAACATTCCTAGCAGTGACAGCAGAGACAAACCCCAGACAACCGCATGGCAAGAAGTGGAAAGTGAACAAAGGCTTATGGGTATTAGGAAGGAGGACGTCCCCCATGAATCCAGCCATGGGGGGAGGGGTGGTCTAGAAAGAGGGGGAGGAGGAAGAAGTGAACTCCAAGTGACATAGTCACGCGTCATGTTGTCCCAACAGCTCCACAAAGAGAATACATTTTACAACGAACCAGCGGAGGTAGAGAAAGATGAAGTGGCTGCCCCAGGTCACACAGACAGTAAGGGGCACACAGGACCATCCTGCCTGTCCCCAAGGCCTGTCATTTCCAACACATGAGCACATCTCAAATGACATGGGAGAGCTCTGGTGGGCAGTGGGCCTGGAGGAGATTCAGAGAAGGCCTAGTGGGCAGGAAGTACATCTAGCCGGAAGCTGTACAGGGCACAGGCTGTGAGGACACTGGTGTGCGGGCTCGCCCCTTGCTCTGAGAAGACACCTGCTCTCCAAACCAGGCCCTCTTCCTTTTTGCTCTGAGACCTTGGACACAGCACCCAACTTCTTAAGTGCCAGCTTCCCCAACACCACGGGGCTGCAGAAAGGGTTGTGTTTTCAAAGATATGCAAACCACCTGGCATGCAGCCCAGCACTTAGCACAATAGCACTCTTATTAACTTACTGAAAACAACCAGGCTCATCACCCAAGGTAAAGCCGGAAGACAGCGCAGAAGAAGCTGTGCTGGGTTGGTTCTGGAGATCAAACTAGGTTGGTCTCGGGCAAGCGAGGGAAAAGCACTCACAGCAGACTTACAACTCCAGCCCACGAACAGTTACAGCTGAATGCTTCCCCCTCATCCCTGGAAGTCCTGAAATCCGAACACCTGATATAAGATGGTGCTGGAGGCGATTACATCACAAGAGAGGAGACCTCAGGATGGGTGGGATTCCTTCCCTTGTGCATGAGGCTCCAGGGAGCTTTTGCCCTCAGTAAGAAGCGGGCTGGCAGCATCTAGAAGACAGCTCTCACCAGTATCTAATGCTGGCATCCTGACCTCAGACTGCTACCTCCAGGATTGGGAGGAATCAACCTCTCTTGTTTATAAGCAACCCAGACTGGTGTGGCAGCCTAATCCAACATGGACCATCAAGAAAGTCTGGGAGACATTCTGAGGAGAGCTTTCCAAGAACTGCTCCCCCAAAGACTTGCCACAGTTTCCAGCTGCCCCACGAATTCCCTCTGATCTCCGAGAAATACTGATTTTGTATTATCAAAACACGCAACTGGAGGATGATTGACACTTCTTTGCCTCTATTTGCTAAGTTACGGTTCTGTCTCTATGGCTGTCTGTCAACTGATTCAGCAGAAAGCTCACTGTAGCCTGGGCCTCAAGCAATGCGGTCAGTAACCCCAAAGCTCCAACCTAATTTTCTGCCTCTGCTCAGAACAGGTGGCCACAATGTCATTGGCTTTCTTCCTAGGTTGAGTCCCAGATCCAGCAGAGAAAGTCTGAGGGCTGAGAGCTGTGTGTGTCAGTGACACCAAGCCTCCTCTGCAAGCGAGAGGACCCCTTTCCCTGAGGAAGCATCTGCATAGCGGTGACAACCTCATCCCTTTCTGGATCCTTCCATCAGAGACGGCTGGCAAGCTAAATTCTCAGTGATGGTTTCAGGCTTACAATTTTGCATCAGCCTTCCCTTGTGTTCACGGCAGCATCCAAGTGCCCAGGGCAGCAGTATGGCCCTATGGACACCAGGAGATGAACACTCCGGAGACAATGGAGTCCTCACGCTCATCAAACACACAGCGGCATCCCCCAGATCTTCACTGAACGACAGATTGAGTGGGACTGACTTCTGGCCATAGACACACTCTAAACGGTTTACCAGTAGCCTCAGTTAGTAGCATTGCTGCTAGGTCCCCGACAGTTTCCCTTCTGAAAGGTGTGACCTTATTTCTCTTCCAGTCAGAAGAGGGTCATTTGCTACAGCACAATGAGCAAGGTCAGCTCGCGCTGAATGCACGCTCACTCAATTTATGCTCACCCCGCCAGAAATGAACACGCCAATATCAACGCACACGCATAAGTCACCTCCTCATGGAAGAGACAAAGACATACAGAGCTTGACCCCACCTCTCATCAGAGCCCTTTGTATAGTATTTTAAAGAACCCCTTCTCTTTCCAACCAAAGCTTTGGACTAACTGAAGGCAGTGCCCCCCAAAGCATGGATTCTCTGCCTACTTGTTATAAGCATAAACCACACCTACAGTTGGCACACAGCTTTTATCTATATATAGATAACATAGACACATATTATCAACGCTTCGGCTATTCTACTGTCCCAAACACATTTACTTCTTTTGTTTCAGGGCTACTTATCACAGCATGGTAACACTAAAAGGGGCAGGGGAAGGCAGAGTACACTGGGAGAAAGGGGAAATGGGTGTAATTTACCAAAGCACACTCAACATTATAATTGCTTCTTTTGTTCAAGCATAATATTGAATATGCTTTGGAAATAACAGCAGAGGGGGCATTCAGAGCCTGTTCATCAGAGGGGTCATGGTTAAATAAGACTCGAATATACTGTCCTGGACTCACACAGCACAGGACAACTGTGGGAATCATGTGGTCTAACTCCTGGTAACAATAAGGAAACAGTCACCCAGAGAGAGTAAATGGCTTCCTGTGTAAGGTCAGAGAGGTGTTTAGGAGCAGCCATGTGGCTTTTATCTGCCCTTGTACGGAGTGGAGCACACAGTTTGCTGCTGATGGAGTCAAGGAATTTCTCACTGCCTCACAGCCAGGACGCTAAGAGACTCGGGGAAAAATGAGCTCTTAGGCACAAATTAAAAATATAATAAGCGGGATTCTTGAAAGGACCAAGAAGATGGGAGGTTTTATGTGCATCCCCTGGGAGCAGCATCCAATGTCACACACGCCGGCCACCTGTGGCTCCAGCCCTCCCCTGTGTGTGTGCAAATCTGGGGAGTCTCTCCCATGAGCCTCTTTTGGGAAGGAGAAAAACGGCAGGTTGCCAGGGAACTGCTTCCTCCAGCCTCCAGTCTCCCCTTCTCTTGGCTACCTGCAGAGGCTACTACCAAGGTTCACAAGGGTTTCGGATTAGTCCCAGCTCCTGAGGCTCGCTGCAGGCCTTCTCCCGCCTGCTCTGACAGGAAGGATCACAGAGCAAGAGAACTTAGCTCCTACCGGGCGTCTGTGTGCAGAGGCAGCAGGCGCAGGCCAGGGTACCCACAGCCTTGGACTGAGACAGATACGGGGCTACCCAGATGGGAGCCCGGGGTCACAGGCGGACCATGCATCCACCGGGTGCAGGAGTCCACTTACCGCAGTGCGACTGGAAGACCTGCGGCTTGACGACCTGATTGCAGGCGCTGCAGACGACCAGATAGAAGTCATCGTGTGCCGGATAGTGGCCGAACAAGTGCATATCTGCAGGGGAAATGAGGAAGAAGAACGCAATTGAAGTCTCGGAAGTTACACAGCTTCCTCTTGGAATTTATTCCGAGGACAGATTTTTACAAGACACACATAGGAACCTGATCCTTTATGACAGGGAGCACAGCTTGTCACCACACAGCTATCCAACTTCTGGAGAAACAAAGGCCTCCAGGAGCCCGTTCTGAGTCCACTCCTGGAAGCTACGTGACACTTACCTACCTATCTGCCACACTGTTAGGATTCATGACTGAGAGAAAGCCCCAACTCAGCCTTTATTGTGGAGCCGAGGGTTTTCCCCATGACCTGTTCTGTTTCTACAGCAGTTCCTCCAGGTGAGCAGAGAGGGGAGAACAGGGCTGGGGTGGAAAGAGGAGTCATCTTAGCCTCATCTGAGGGAAACGTGTAGGACAGTTAACAGGTCAGGGTGTAGACTGCATTTCTCCTGGTTCTAGGGTCCGTCTAGCAAAAGCAGGCTCTGAGCGCGTCAGTCCGTCCTTCCTGCTTTCCCTCCCCCATACCAATCTCTACCCTCTACATCCCACCATGTTATGATGCGATATGAGGCCCTCTTCAGATGTATTGCCCAGCCCAGCACTTCCAGTCTTAGAACCGTGAAGCAGAATAAAGTTTCCTTTATAAAATGTCCAGTTTCCAATCTTCTATTGCAGAAAAAAAAAATGGCCCAAATCAGAAGGACATTCGGAATAAGCAACAGGCTCCCAAGACCAGTAGGTGAGTAGTGTATACACAGTGGATATTCTGAATATGAGGCTGATGCACATCCTGGATGGGACAGCACGTTTATCTCACTTCTCAGACTGGAGAGCAGCTAAAAACTTATAAACTATGGTGCTGGAATTTTCCAGTTAATGTTTTGGGTGCTGACCACAGGTAATTGAAACCATGGGGGAAAAATACTGGATAAGAAGAAACTAGTTTGTTTATAATACAGATATCACTGCACTCCATACTCTCCATCTTTCCTGGGATAGCTGGCTGTACATACATACATACATACATGCATACATACGTACATACACGTACACTAGCCCCTCCTAGCATCACACTTCACCCGTCCCTGGCACAGTTTCCCCAGGTACGGCACAGACAGACACATGGACAAACTTTTGTGAACTAATATAAGATTACGTTTACGGCACCAATTATTACCCTAAGAACTTCTACACAACAGGGTCAAGCTGGCATGTTCATCACTTCCTCCCTAGCTCTGGGGCTCTCACCTGAACCTCCTCCATCCCCGACGGCAGAAGGATGGGCACGGAGAGCTCAACAGATGCCGAGTTTGAGACAGTAAAATCATATCTATGAAAGTGAAGCAATGATTCTGATTTCCCTGAGCAGCTGATAAACCACTTCTGAAGTCAACACTAAAAAAGAAGTCAGGCCGGGCGGTGGTGGCGCACGCCTTTAATCCCAGCACTCGGGAGGCAGAGGCAGGTGGATCTCTGGGAGTTCGAGGCCAGCCTGGTCTACAAGAGCTAGTTCCAGGACAGGAACCAAAAGCTACGGAGAAACCCTGTCTCGAAAAATCAAAAAAAAAAAAAAAAAAAAAGAAGTCAGAAGAATGGGGGGTAGTGCTCTGTTTGAGATAAACGGCTTGCTAAGGAGCATGATTTCGTTAAGCTGTGTGTGTGTGAGCCGGTTTACAGCCAACAAGCTCTTGTTGAGATGGTTGCAGTCAGGGGAAGGGCAGGTGGCATCTCCAGCTCGCTCTTTCTATAGCACCTGTTGCCGAGATGGGAAGACAGCTGGCTTTGCGGATGTGAGATCAGACTAGATGCTGTGCACTCTTGAATTTGCCCCTGGACACCTTCCAAAGCTCAGGACTTTGGCATCAAGAAGAACAACTGCAGAAGACCTTAAAGATGAAGAAACTCAGCAAGGATGGGAGACAGGCAGGGAGATAGTGGGAATCCCGTGCACAGGGGAAATCGGGATGCACAGGGACACTGCCCGGAGGGAATGATTGGAAAGTAGTTGAACAGCTTATTGGCAATCAATGCTACCTGTGCTCAGAAGAGAAAAAAGCCACAGTGGGAAAAAAACAAGACAAAACAGGCAACCTTGAAGTTTAGCTTCATGGAAGAAATAATAAGGCCTTAGGAAATGGCCTTCATGTGACCCAGAAGTTTTCCCAGGGTTTTGAAAACACTCTAGGCACAACAAGAATTATAAAACATTGAGGCAGCACATGCTACACACACACACACACACACACACACACAGAGAGAGAGAGAGAGAGAGAGAGAGAGAGAGAGAGAGAGAGAGATGCATACACACATATACTATAGATACTGAAAATAATCTTACAAAATTTAAACATGTTTCCCTTTTAAAAATTACTCTAAAAATATTGCTTTTGGAAAACATGTTAATTCAACACACTGAGCTTCTTTCCTGAAGGCGAACGTGAGAGTCTGGCCTAAAATGTTCACTTCTCATTCTGGGCAGCAACTGCCCAGACAATGGTCAAAGCGGTCAGTGCCGCAGGGGTTCCTCGGGAAGACAAGCTGGTGGCTGATGGCGGTTTGGATTCGTGGGCTTCCACTGACATGAACCTGAGCCAAATGTTTTGGAGGAGCAGCCACTGTGTTTCAAGGACAAACAGGCGGACTCCAAGCAGACTGACACGAGGACGCTGACCGGCTGGTCCTAGGGGCCTTCTATCGATCGTCATGTGCTTGCTGCGTGGCTTTTATTAATGCCTTGCTTTGGCTAGCAGCACTTCCTAGAAACACGGATGGTGACACGCGGACGCTTGGAGACGGGGGGCACAAACATGGCTGCACTTTACTCTGGCAGAGTGGCGTGCCTGCCTAACTCCCATATCTCTCTGCATCCATACAGTGAAACTGTCTGGAGTCTTCGGACGACCACAGACCTGGCACTCTTTCTCCAGCGGTGCCGAGCTCCCCGCTAGGCAAAGCTTGGGCCTGCCAGCTTCTCAGAATTCTGAAGACCAAAGCCTATGTGATGCAAAGCCAGTAAGATCTGAAACGGAGAATGGGAACCCAGCCAGAGAGGAAGCAACAGAGGCTACAGAGGCCATGAACAGTCTGCACGGGCACGCGTGCCAGCAACCGGGCCTGCGTCTGCTCTCCTCCCAGGGCAGGGTGGCACACCTTTCCTGCCTGGCAGTCAGGTGTTAGGAAACACAGGACCCTTCTGGGTCCCCAATCCCAGATGAATACGACCACAGGAAGTCTTTTTAGAGGCAGCCACTCAAGATGCATAGAGGCCAAGAGGCTGCACTAAACCCCTTTGATTGGCAATCAAATTGGGCTTTGAAAACACAGTGCCCAACTGCTGCACCCTGAAGCTGGCATCCCGAGTTCAAGTCCCAGCCCTACCATTTGGCACGATAATGTTCTCAATGCTGTGTTTTGGCCTCTGGAATAGAATGTCCTATTTATGAACGAGCTGGCACTCAATGGCGATTTCTCCAGTCTTCTTATCTCTTAGAACTCACCTGACCCCTCCCCAGGTGTCTCCCCTTCCCTTCGGTATACCCTCACTCAGCAGTGAGAACAGGACTCCTGGCTTAGACCTCCCACTCAACCGTGGTGATATCTTCTGGAGGACAGGCTCTGATGCATCGCCCTTGGTCTCTTCAATGGCCAAACAGGCTGGCACCCAGTAGCCGCTTAATCAATGCTAATGCATCGACCAGGCTGGAGTTCCCAAGAAGATCATTTATTCCCACCCTCCTCTAGCTTCTCTCTCAAAGGAGACACAGCAAATGATATAAATGGCCCTGGTAGACACGTTGTTATCGACATTACAAGCTCAATAATTTTATCAATTCGTTTATTTTTTTAATTTTTTTTTGGAAGACAAGTACTTTGTGTATCTAAGGAAGTTCGAAGTGGGTCACATAAGTGAAGAAGTGGTTGATGCCCATTTCACCACGCAAAGTGTGAAACGGTTGGACCCTTCTAGAACTCAGTCGCTGTTGCTTCCTGCTCTAGCCTCAGAAGGGCCCCCCTCAGAGCTCTCACTAGGGGTAGGCTTAGGTGCTCCATATTTATTGTCTGATGAAGACCACGTATGATCCAGTGCATGAACTATCTAGACTCTTCTCACCCTTCCTGCGTTAGCTCCAACCTGTGTGCTCCCGGCCAGCACGCTCAGGTCTGGCTCAGGGCACACTGTGTTAGCCTGAGCCCAGCCTGGCAGAGAATATGACTGGCCAGCTGGGCAGCAATGACCTTGGCAGCTAGGAGATTAATTATGTAAAGGGCTCCCCCTTGCCTATGCCTCACAAATCTGACACTGAAAATGTTCTTCCAGATGCAGAATCAGTCCCAGTCCTTGCAAGCAGTTCCAGGGACAGCAGGCTCCTCCCTGTCCACACACACCCACCTTTATCCAGCATCCTAGCCAGGCCTGCTGGTAGCTTCTGGCTTCATTCGCTCTGTTCTATTCTTCAGGAAAGAGGAAGCCACTGGCAGGTTTTTGAGGTGTCCTGGCCAAGGCCTCTCTTACGGCAAGGACTGCTTGAGGTCAGCTGTGTAGATAGGGCAGTCCCATTCCCCTCCTTAGCAAGTTGGTCCCATAGTCTATGATCTGTGTGAAGGCCAAGAATATATGGACATGTGGGCACAGCATGTCCAGCCCAGGACCCGTCAAAGAAAGCTGCATAGTTCGCTGTGACTCAATCAGGGGAGAAGAAACATCAGTTTGCGGGATGAGATCCTAGTCCCTTTTGTCCGGCTCTCTTGCTGAGGGCACTTGAAGAACTGAACAGGGAGCCTATGAAGACTTTCAAGAGCCATCGCCAGACCCTGCCCCCTTTCTTCCTCCTGCTCTGAATGTTCCTGCTTATTATTTTCTGTTTGTTTGGGTTTTGGCTTTTTGAGGCAGGGTTTCTCTGTCGCCCTGGCTATGAACTTGTTCTGTAGACCAGGCTGACCTCAGACTCACTGAGATCCACCTGCCTCTGCCTCCAGAGTGCTGGGATCAAAGGTGTG